GCCAACTCCACTCCACTCCAACTCCGTCTCCACTCCAACTCCATTACAACTCTACTCTCACTCCAACTCCAACTCCACTCCAACTCCACTCCAACTCCACTCCAACTCCATTACAACTCTGCTCTCACTCCAACTCCACCTCCACTCAAACTCCACTCCAACTCCAACCCAACTCCACCCCCACTCCACTCCAACTCCAACTCCACTCCGGCTCTACTCCAACACAACTCCACTCCACTCCAACTCCACTCCAACCCCACGCCAACTCCACTCCACTACTACTACTACTACTACTACTACTACTACTACTACTACTACTACTACTACTACTACTACTACTACTACTACTACTGCACCCGCTGCTCCGCACCCACTGGCCCCTGACTACCCACTACCCACTACACAACCCACTGCCCGCTACTCCACTACTCCACTACTCCACACTAGCATGTTCGAAGTCCATTCTCGCAATCAGGAATCTAACCCCGACCTAACCCTGACCTAACCCTGATTTAATTTCTATTCCGAAGTGTATTCCCCCGCCCCTCCTCAACCAGATTGGATCGGATTTACTGTGAATGATTTAATTTAACAACCCCAAAATTGGACTGCGCCCCTCTTTCAGCCCGACCCAAAACGCAAAACATAGACTTTTTGAGGGGTCTCAATATGAGTCAATCTTGGTAATTGGCACCAGGTCAATCCTTGTGTTCAGAAACGTGTTGAAAGCCCCACCCTCCAGAAGGAAACAACAACTCTTTGCCACCCTTGCTAAGCACAACAAAAGGGGCGCTCAAACACTGCAACTCCACTCCAACTCCAACGCCACTTTTTTTGGTGGTCAAAATGGGTGGCAGAAAGGGGTGGCAGATTTGGCCGCACCCCTTTCTGGTGGCCATTATTTGCTGAACTTTGAAAATCTACTACGTTGCATTGATATGAATGAGTACTAGACAGAATGTATGATATGGAGACTTGGGTGGAAATTGCAGAAGGTTTAAATCAAGTCTTGTTCAATGATTATAGCGATCGTGAAAGTGAAGGACATGAGTTGATATAATATATTTGCAAATATACGTGATTTTCATTTATGATTAAATTTACCCGATAAACCTTACAAAAAACATCGTTGTACGATCTAGGCTCGGTTTGACCATTTAATAACATACATACAATGCCTTAAAGAAATATTGCTTTATAATATGGGTGCGGATTTATTTTGGGATTTGTTTTTCCGTTTCTTGGGGGATTTTTCCCCAACAGCTGAAAGCTTTGGGGTCTCAGCCCAGATAGGCTCCGGGGTGGTTCGGGGCGACCCTGAGCTAAGGTTCCACCAGGGTTCCACCAGGGGTTCCCCAGCAGCAGGTTCTGCAAGGCTGGGTGGTTTGAGGTAAGGTTCCACGAGGGTTCCACCAGGTTTCCACCAGGGTTCCACCAGCCCGTCGTGCTCCGGACGAGGGCACCAGGGTTCCACCAATTTCTTCGAGGGTGCGGCGTGGTCCGGGCAAGATTCCACGAGGGTTCCACCAGGGTTTCACCAGGGTTGCACCAGCGGTCCGGGCTGGTTTGAGGTAATGTTCCATGAGAATTCCACCAGAATTCCACCAGGTTTTGCAAGGTAAGTTTCCATTCCAGCACGGTTCTAGCAGGGTCCCACGAGGTTCTGCGAGGGCTGCGGGGTGGTCCGGTGGTTTGAGGTAAGGTTGTATGAGAGTTTCAGGGTTCCACAAGATTCTGCGAGGGCTGAGGTTTCACAGGGTTCCACAAAGCTCTGCAAGGATTCCACACGGGTTCCACAAGGCTCCACAATGCTCCAGCAAGGGTGTGTCGTGCGCCCGTCGTCTGAAAAGCCATCGGCTCAAGATCGCTTTGCTCATGGGCGGAACACTAAGCAAAACCGAAATCAATGGTTTTTAGCACACTTTCACTGTTTTGTGACTTGCTCACTTGCTCAGGCAAATGTTGGCTTTGTGGCAAATCAGATCACGTCGCTGCGGAACTCACGGTGCAGCAGAGTCAATGCTTGGCATTGCTGCTTGGTGGGCTTTGGGTTTCAAGAATTCCACGAGGCTGCGAGGGCTATGAGGTCAGAAGGTTTCCATCAAATTCTGCAAAAGCTATGGGGCAGCCCTGAGGGAAGGCCACGAAAGTTGCGTGAGAACAGTTTGCGAGGTGCACCGGGCCTATAGGTCGGGGCCCGATTGCACTGTCGGGGCCCGCCCGATTGCACCGTTTGGGCCCCGATTGCGCCGTCGGTCGGGGCCCGACTCAGTCGGGCCCCGTCAATTGTACCAAGCTGGCGTCGCCTAGTTTTGCTATAGATACAGTTGCAATCCGCATTCTAAGGAAAACCGGCGTTGAGCTATAATATGGGTGGCTGGGGTTGCACCGGTGCCCGATTGCACCGTCGGGCCCCGATCGGGCCCCGATTGCACCGTCGGGCCCCGATCGGGCCCCGATTGCACCGTCGGGCCCCGATCGGGCGATTGCGCCGTCGGGCCCCGATCGGGCCCCGATTGCGCCGTCGGGCCCCGATCAGGGCGAGATTGCGCTGTCACTCGTAGCTTTGCTTTACAAGGCGGCATCCTCAGCAACACCGGCGGTAAGGATGGTCCCGGGGCGTTCCGCGTGTGGTGCTGTTGGGGATATCGCCCGAGCTTTTTCTTTTTTCGTGTTTTTTGTCCGGGCCAGTAAAATGTCGTATTTTACAGCATTTCTCGCGAAATTGACGCATTTTACAGTAGCCCGTCAACATCCCCAGCATCGTTTTCAACATCCCCCGCATGTCCGACCAACATCCCTAGCATCACCAACAAATCATGGGTAAGGGTACAAAAATCCAAAAAGTAGCTGGCGGGTTGACGGGGTCAACAAAAATAATGATTCAAACAGGAGGGCATTTCAATCCCAGGTTTTTGTTTTTTTAAGGGGGGGGTTGGGGGGCGGCAGGCCCCCCCAGGATGTCGGAAGAAGTGATGATTCAAGTAGGGGTGCAATGATTCAAGAAAGGGTGCGATAGAATCTAAAAGGCAGCGGGGGGCTTGGCGGGGGTGGCTTCCCCTATGATGTTCGAAGAAATGCATACATACAGACATACATGGATTGCACAGATTGCCTAAAATTTCGTATTTTGCAGCATTTTCTCGCGAAATTGGACGCTCGACAAAGTGATGATTCAAACAGGGGTGCAATTCAATCTCTGCAAGCAATCTAAAAAGTAACCGGGGGGAGGCGGCAACCCCCCTCCATGATGTTTGAAGAAGAGTTGATTCAAATAGGGTGGTGGTGATGCTGATGCCTGAAGCCAAATCCAAAAACCAATGAAAGGGCGCAAAAGCCAAAAAGAAGGATGCAAAAAGCCAAAGCCGCCAAAAGCCGCCAAAAGCCGCATAAACCAGTGAAAAGCCGCAAAAGCCAAAACACCACCTGCCGAAGAGGAACTGGGAATGCAGAGGATGCGAAAAGCCAAAAAGCCACCAAAAGCCGCAAAAAGCCCAGAAGCCCAGAAGCCAAGAAGCCGAAAAGCCAAGAAGCCAAGAAGCGAAAAAGCCATTAAGCCAAGAAGCCAAAAAAAAAAGCTAAAATAATACCCCTCCTTATAATATTAAGATGATACAAAGTGATGAAGATGTCAAGTGATGAAATAGGCAACACTTTTAGCAGAACAGCAAAACCGTGAAATCCAAATGCAAAGGAAGCATCTAACAAACACGCCAAGTTTGTTCAGTTGAAATTAATCATCGTGAATATTACCCCGGCATAACACGTGTAGAAGGTTTGAATAGTGGTGAAATGGAAGAAGCATATGGTTCCATCTTGGCTTGTAAAACACATGCTCTTGACTGAGGACCGCTCCTGTGGCGCTAACTGGCATTTCACAAGGAAGATGACTATGACACAATAGAAACACGAAAGAAACAAAAGCGCTTAAACATTCTAAATGGCGCAGTAAGCGACAGAGACAATGATAGCATCGGATCAGAGATGCGGCATACAGGAAACATTCATACTAAAACTCCTCACACCCTTACTCATAAAAACCTTGTTAGATGCTTGTGATGGGTTTAGTGGGAGTCCACTTACAGGGGCGTGAGTTGCTTGCGTACTCGGTGCACTTGTTGCGTACTGCGTGCACTCGGTGCGCGCTAGTGCCTACTCGGTGCACTCGGTGCACTTGACTAGTTGAGCTACAACCACCTTTTCTCGGAACAAAAGCCCAACCCGTCGCACTTGTGTGTGTGTGTGTGTCACGAATCTGTCAGTCTTCTTAACCTGTCACCAATATTTGATACGTCCAATGCATCTCTAAGATAGCATTTCAAACTAGCAAACTACACCAGCATAGACCCCAGACAGCAAAACATATGCCAACACCTCCAACAGCACCGCGCGAAGAGCCCCCCAAACAGCACCCTGCCGTCAATCTCACAAAATGCGCCCACACCATCATTAGCACCTCCAACAGCACCCCAAACAGCACCCCAAACAAAACAGCACCTGCGCCAGCTGAGCAAACTGTATGCCCCCTAGCACCTTGCCGTCCATCCCGAAAAACGCGCCAGCACCGTCACCCCAAACGTCACCAGCGCCTCAAACAGCACCCGAAACAGCATCCCAAAACGCCACCTGCCCCTAGCACACTACCGTCAATCTTGCAAAACTGTGCCCGCACCGTCACCTGCATGCATACAACAATGCACCGAAACCGTCACCAACACCTCAAACAGCGCCCCAAGCAGGACCCCAAAATAGCACCTGCACCCGCACCCCAAACTGCACGCCCCCCAGCAGCCCTAGCACCCGACCGTCAATCTTGCAAACACGCGCCCGCACTGCAATCAGCACCTCAAGCAGCGCCCCAAACAGGACTCCAAAACAGCACCAAGTTGCACGCCCCTGGTTCCCCTCTTTCTTAGAAGTTAGAACCCCTATAGCTTTTAGCTATCTGGGGAAATAAGTTTCTAGCAAGGCCAATCTGTTGCAAAGTGTAAGAGGTGGACTGGCTCCTCGTCACTGTCGTCATCGTCGTCTGCAGCTGCCTTGGCCTTCGCCTTGGCCTTGGCCTTTGCTTTCGGCGCCTCAGCTGTCACATATAAAATGATTAGAACATACAAACATCTGTGCCACCTATTTCTTCTACTGCACAAAGGCTCGCACAGGCTCGTCGTCGCTGTCATCATCATCATCATCTGCAGCTGCCTTGGCCTTCGCCTTGGCCTTGGCCTTTGCTTTCGGCGCCTCAGCTGTCACATATAAAATGACTAGAACATACAAACATCTGTGCCGCCTATTTCTTCTACTGCACAAAGGCTCCAACAGGCTCGTCGTCGCTGTCATCATCGTCATCCGCAGCTGCCTTGGCCTTCGCCTTGGCCTTGGCCTTTGCTTTCGGCGCCTCAGCTGTCACATATAAAATGAATAGAACAAACAAACATCTGCACCACCTGTTTCTTCTACTGCACAAAGGCTCCAACAGGCTCATCATCGTCGCTGTCATCATCATCGTCTGCAGCTGCCTTGGCCTTCGCCTTGGCCTTGGCCTTTGCTTTCGGCGCCTCAGCAATCGTCCCAGTGTCAACTGTCAGCAAATGAAATGACTACCACCTTTATCTTCTACCACACAAAGGCTCCCACAGGCTCGTCGTCGCTGTCATCATCGTCATCTGCAGCTGCCTTGGCCTTCGCCTTGGCCTTTGCTTTCGGCGCCTCAGCACTACCCCCGACCCCCGCCCACTAACAGAATTGAAAATTTCTAAAAAAGCCGTCTGCTTTACACAAAGGCTCGCACAGGCTCGTCGTCGCTGTCATCATCATCATCTGCAGCTGCCTTGGCCTTCGCCTTGGCCTTGGCCTTTGCTTTCGGCGCCTCAGCTGTCACATATAAAATGAATAGAAAATACAAACATCTGTGCCACCAGTTTCTTCTACTGCACAAAGGCTCCAACAGGCTCGTCGTCGCTGTCATCATCATCATCTGCAGCTGCCTTGGCCTTCGCCTTGGCCTTGGCCTTTGCTTTCGGCGCCTCAGCTGTCACATATAAAATGAATAGAAAATACAAACATCTGTGCCACCAGTTTCTTCTACTGCACAAAGGCTCCAACAGGCTCGTCGTCGCTGTCATCATCATCATCTGCAGCTGCCTTGGCCTTCGCCTTGGCCTTGGCCTTTGCTTTCGGCGCCTCAGCTGTCACATATAAAATGAATAGAAAATACAAACATCTGTGCCACCAGTTTCTTCTACTGCACAAAGGCTCCAACAGGCTCGTCGTCGCTGTCATCATCATCATCTGCAGCTGCCTTGGCCTTCGCCTTGGCCTTGGCCTTTGCTTTCGGCGCCTCAGCTGTCACATATAAAATGACTAGAAAATACAAACATCTGTGCCGCCTGTTTCTTCTGCTGCACAAAGGCTCCAACAGGCTCATCATCGTCGCTGTCATCATCGTCATCTGCCGCAGCTTTGGCCTTCGCCTTGGCCTTGGCCTTTGCTTTCGGCGCCTCAGCTGTCATATATAAAATGCAAACATCTGCACCACCTGTTTCTTCTACTGCACAAAGGCTCGCACAGGCTCGTCGTCGCTGTCATCATCATCTTCTGCAGCTGCCTTGGCCTTGGCCTTGGCCTTGGCCTTTGCTTTCGGCGCCTCAGCTGTCACATATAAAATGATCAGAACATACAAACATCTGTGCCACCTGTTTCTTCTACTGCACAAAGGCTCGCACAGGCTCCTCATCGCTGTCATCATCATCATCTGCAGCTGCCTTGGCCTTGGCCTTGGCCTTGGCCTTTGCTTTCGGCGCCTCAGCTGTCACATATAAAATGACTAGAACATACAAACATCTGTGCCCCTGTTTCTTCTACTGCACAAAGGCTCCAACAGGCTCCTCATCGCTGTCATCATCATCATCTGCAGCTGCCTTGGCCTTCGCCTTGGCCTTGGCCGTTGCTTTCGGCGCCTCAGCTGTCACATATAAAATGACTAGAAAATACAAACATCTGTGCCACCTGTTTCTTCTACTGCACAAAGGCTCCAACAGGCTCATCATCGTCGCTGTCATCATCGTCATCTGCAGCTGCCTTGGCCTTCGCCTTGGCCTTGGCCTTTGCTTTCGGCGCCTCAGCAATTGCCCCAGTGTGAACCGTCAGCGCTTAAATGACTGCAATACTTCACCGTTGTTGTTCAACAGAAGGGTGCTCTGTGGGGCCTGCGTTTTTGCAGAGCAAGATGCTAGAAGACTGCTTAAGCGAACAAAGGAACTGAACCACAACCCTTGCATTCAAACCTATTTGTTTCACATTCAATGTCCAACTCGGGCCCAGCCCAAGCTGCTGTCGTTTTCTTGTCGTCTATTTTTCAAGACGCCATCCAAGCGTTTCGAGTTGCGTGTCGTGGTTTTTTGTTGCACGAATTTGACCACCTAGTCTGCTCTCATGATGAATATCCGCCGACCCCTTGTCGGCAAGGGCGAGGCGCATGGGAGGGGTGTCATCATCATCATCATCGTCATCCTCCTTGTCATCGTCATCATCATCATCACACCAAGGCGTGGCGCTCGGCTCCTTTGGCGATTCAAGGGATGCTACGATGATAGTGGTCAAGGCGCAGAGGATGTCGCGACGATAGCTGTGACGACGCGGATGATCGCCATCATCTTCCTCACAGTCCTCTCGTCATCATCATCACCGTTGTCATCATCTTCATCGTCATCGTCATCCACTGTTGGCGATGCAGGGGATGCTGCGATGATGCTTGTCATTGTCATCATTGGAGATGCAGAGGATGCTACGATGGTACTTTCATCATCTTCCTCATTGTCATCATCACCATCATCGTCATCATCATCACCGTTGTCATCATTACCACGCCGTCATCATCCACTGTTGGAGATGCAGGGGATGCTACGATGATACTTATCATCGTCATCGTTGGAGATGCAGCGGATGCTACGATGTCATCATCCTCATCATCACCGCTATCATCATCATCATCCTCGTGCTCAGCATCGTCCCTGCAAGAGACGCTGGGGATGCGTCGTGATAATTGTCATCGCCCGCTTTGAGATGCAGAAGATGCGTAGTCATGATTATCATCATGACTGCTGGTGATGCTGAGGATGCATAGTGATGATTATCATCCGATTTGAGATTCACAAGATGTGTGGGCATGATTATCCTCATGGCTGCTGGTGATGCTGAGGAAGCTGCGATGATACTTGCGATGACGCGGCTAGTCGTCCTCATCATCTTCACCGTTGTCACCATCATCATCGTGTCATCCTCATCATCATCACCGCTAGCGTCGTCATCATCCTCATCCTTGCAGCGATGCTACGATGATACTCTTCATAATCTTCCTCAAAGTAATCACCATCATCATCATCATCACCGTTACCATCATCATCATCATCCTGTCTGTACTTCTTATATAGAAGCATACATACATACCTTACATTACATTCCATTGCATTGCATTGCGTTACATTACATTACATACATACATACATTACATTACATTACATACATTATATTACATACACTACATACATACATACATTCATTACAGACATTCATTACATTACATACATTACATTACATACATTACATTGCATACATTACGTTACATACATTACATACATATATACATACATACATACATACATACATTACATGAATACATACATACATACATTGATTAAATACACACAAACATACATACATACATGCATACATACATTACATACATACATACATACATTTTTACATACATACATACACACATACATACATACATACATACATACACACATACATACGTACATACATACATTACATACATGCGTCCATACATACATACCATTACATTACATTATATTACATTACATGCGTTACATTACAGTGCATTACATTACAGTACATTAATACGCACATACATGCATACATTCCTACATACCTACATACATACATACATACATTACACACATCACATACATACATACATGCATACATACATACATACATTACATTACATCACATGACATTACATTACATTACATTGCATTGCATTACATACAAACATACGTACATACAGTACTTTACATACATACATACATACATACATACATACATACAGTACTTCCTTAAATACAAACATACAGTACTTCCTTAAATACATACATACATACACATACATACAGTACATACATATATACATACATACATATATACATACATACATACATACATACATACATACATACATACATACATACATACATACATACATACATTACATTACATACATACATTACATACATGTAATGCATACATTACACTACACTACACTACACTACACTACACTACACTACACTACACACTACACTACACAACATTACATTTCATTACATTACGTTGCATTGCATTGCATTTACATTCCATTACGTACATACATACACACATACACCAGCTGGCTCACCGTCATCAAGAGTAGGGGAAACGAACTGAGTGTCACCATGAGGAAGGTACGGCACATTATTGATGACACCCAACGTCACTGTACGACCCGAAGGACACGTACGGGTGGGCATACAACCTGCATTCCATGCGAACGAGTAGCCCATGTCCATACAGCGCTTTCCAATCGAAATGATGGATGGTGTAGATTCAAGGATGTGTGCCTCAATCACCTCGTCCAGATTGCCAACATCAGCATCAACACGACCAGCAGTACGAGTCGCCCCGTTAGCAGTATGCAACGTGTGGGTATGTCCGCCCTTGGCAATCAGGGCCCTATCGGGTCCTTTCAGATCACCAAGACCGACCAGATCCATCGGGCAACCAGTATCTACCAGCCATCTCACCCCGCTGTGTCCAACAGGTGCAGCAACATTCCGGGTGTACTTCGGCTTTCGGACAACACGATGACCCCGTACATTTGCAGGTCGATGTCATTATCGTTGTCCAAGAGTACTTGGGCGTGGACAGCCGCAGCCCTTATCAGAGCACTCTGAACCTCCCTGGCGACACCATGCTGAAAATACTTTCTCCTCCGGCTCATCACAGTACCAAAATACCGTCTTGATGTTGGCCCTTCTCGGGAGTTTCCTGAATAGGATCGCTCAACGATCACCGGAGTTCATCCCGATATCCTATTATAGTCCCATTTGCATCGATGGTCCTTGTGGTTGGATCTTCGTGATCATTTTCGTGCTCATTCGACTCTTTCTTCTATTTTCTTGGCAGTTGATGGATTTCAGGCCGATATTATTGTGTATGACCAGGAAGATGTGGCACAGCTACCTTTCCCTAATTGCGGTCTCTGGGGCATGAATAGTAGCACTGAGGAGCGTGACTCTTGCTGTCAAAGGTGGTACGACCATGTCGCCGTCGTGCAGATCCGGGAGTGCATGGAGAGTATGCGGGCTGGTCGGCTTCAAAGGCCGGATCTGGGAAGGGACGATGATGCCTTTCCTCGGTGGCCTGCCACTACAACTACTGAGCTTGTGCTGTGGATGATCTTTACTTACAATTTTGCGCTTTTCGCTACGATTGCTTTTTCTGGTGGAATTGCGCGTTGTCGGTATATTTGCGGGGTGATTTATGACATTGATTGGTGGTTATGTCGGATGTTTGGGCATGTTCATGGTGCTCTTGTACTGATTTGTGGGTTCCACTGCGGTATTCGATTCGACATGTTATTCATCTGTGCTATCATCATTTGGCTCTTTCAGGCTGCGGTGGAGGATCGAAGACTTGACAGATTTTTCTTTCACTTCATTGCGCATGGACTGATGGTTGCTTTTGTCTATCATGTTTTTGGAAGGCATGATTGCTTGCTGGATTCCTCACTTTTCATGAATACGATTGGTTTCCTTATTGGACTGAACCTTTCAAAACTATTTCCGGGTTGCAGTACCTTGCTTGTGGGAGTTGGAAGCATGCGTGATGGTCGGAATCAGATTGGACTCTTGGGTTGCGTGGCCGGAGGATTACAGAGGATGGGATGCAGTATTGCGTGGATGGTATTTCGGGTTTGTGCCTCATTGTATTTGACGGAGACAGATCAGCAGGAACGGTTCACTTGTGGGCGCGAAACACCGGATTTGGGTGCTGACTTGGGTGGATCGCCGCAGGTGTGGCAGGCAGTTATTCGGGCCAGGCGTTGTGCGAATTCCGGGAGAGGGGCCTGCTTTTGGAGGGCATTGGCGGGTGCTTCTTTTGGAGACCAGCCTTTTGTTTGAGTGGAGATCTCTTGATCAAGCAACGTCGCAATGATGCGTGGGCGGATGAGAAGTCTGTGCAGGCTGCAGCTGATGCTTTGAAAAGGGAGATCGTTGCGCTTAAACAATCGGATGGCGCTTGCAGTATTTACAGTGGCACGATGGTGCACTTTCGGCCCTTGCAGTCGGATGGCAGGCCTCCTATTTACATCCGGCACCATCTTGATCATTTTGAGCAGTTGCGCGACGTCAGGATTTACTCGGCCAGCAACTCTATGGATTGGGCGGCGTATGAAATCGGGGGCCTTGATGGTCGTGCTGGCATTTGCATTTTGGCAGCAGCCCCGAATCGGTTCAGGGGTTCATTGAGACTTGGATGGAAGAAGGTTTTGAGCAGAGGGGCAGTATTTTACCGCAGATGCAGCGTGGCGTGGTCTCTGGAGTTGAACATCTGAACCTCCAGGAGTCGTCATTACGGGCTTGTGGTGGAGGAGCTCCTGGTGCAAACACGCGGCAGTCGGCATTGGTTGAGAAGCATGCCTTTTGGCTTACTTGGGCTTTGCGGCACGGAGTAAAACAGCTGAACCTCCCTGCCGATGAGCTCGGGTTTATAACAGTCGATGCAGTTACGCATTTGCGGCGTGGACTCAATGCTGATCAGGTGGAGGACATTGTTCGGACTGACAGGAAAGGAAGGTTTGAGATAAAGGTGGTCAATGGCGTTCGACTCATTCGGGCTGCGCAGGGTCACTCGAAGGGTCTTATGCGCGAGGATATACATGAGAAGGCTGATATCGATGGGTTGACGCTTGAGCATGCGACCTATGTGCATTTTCTTGACGGCATTCAGCAGTTTGGGTTGTGTCCGCAGGGCAGGCAGCGTACGCACTTCATTGCAGC